CTTTTCCAAGCCTTAATAACATCATGAATTCTTTCTGGCATAGAGTAGATAAAATTAGTACAAGTATCAATGTCAATCTCTTGTCAAATCTGTTGAATTTTGATTTACAAGTCCTCCTTACCCAAAATTTGTTCAGGGAGATAATAAAAATGATGATCTATTTCATTATACAAATGTTTTATGGGATTAAGATTGGGAAGGTCAATTTAAAACCTTTATTTTGTTACTTTGAGACTATTGTTTTGTTGAATTTGCTGTATGTTTAGGGTTTCCATCCTGTTGAAAAATTATATCTTTAATAGCAAATCCTTGAACTTTGATAGTATTTAAGAGATCCTCACAAAGTATTTGTTGATATAATTTGGCATTCGTCATTTCATCAATTTTACAAAAGCTATCAATACCACATAATGTAAAGCATTCCTATATCATCACAGATCCACCTCCAAATTTTACAGTAGGCTTAATATAAAAACAATTTAATGGTTCCTCAGGATGCTTCCAATAATATTGTTTTCCATCATATTCAAAAACTTTAAATTTTGATTCATCAGATCATATTATCTTTGACCAATTATTTATTTCCAATTTTCATATTTTCACGCAAAATCTAGGTGACATTTTTGGTGTTTTTTACTCAAATAAAGTTTTTTTCTTTTAACTCTTGATACTAACCCATTATTTCGAAGTATACATCAAATAGTAAGTACTGAAATATTAATATTTTCTTGTTCTTGTAAATGGTTTTGGCTTCAACAGCAGAAGAACACTGGTGAGAGGTAATGAGATTTAAGTTTTTTTTTGAGTTAGTTTATTTGTGATAAGTGGATGACCTGACTTTGGCAAGTTTTTAACAGAGTGGTTTTCAAGACATCTTTTTTAATTCAAGAAACCGTAGATGGATTTATATACTGTACTCTTGATATTTCCCTTGTTGTGTATCTTTTTTGTAATGAAAGAAGAATTTGGATTCTTTCTTTAGAGGTTGTATGACACTTTTGTGTTGTGACTTGTTAACTAAGGAGTTGCAACATGGTACAAAAACAAAATAAACAATAAAATTTACTTTTTATGTGATATTTATTTAACACAATAATCACTATTCCTATAAGAAATAAGCATATTTAAAAAATACTTAAAATATAATTAAAATATTATTATAGTTTTATTAAAATATATTTAAAATATATTTAAAATATACTTAATTATATTTGTGATAATCTACTAAATATTATTATTTTATAATTAAAATATATTTAAAATATACTTAAAAAAATACTTAATTTAGGTAATAAGTATATTTTAAGTATATATTTAAAATATTATTAAAACATATTTAAAATTAAGTATATTTTAAGTATATTTAAATATATTTTAATTATAAAATAATAATATTTAAATAGTTTTTTATATACTTAAAAAATATTTAATAAAATATCTTAGTTTTTATAGGGCATCTGGTTCTTGTCAAAAACGATCAAAAGTAATACAACACGTGTTTCGTATTACTTGACTGATTATTTTGGAACTGGTAGTAATAGTAATTGTTAAGATTTCACTATCATAAACTGACACTATTAACAGATAATAAACAAAACAAAAAAAACGAACATCTCCAGGATTGTTCGAAACAGTTCGATTGAACGAATTTTTTTTTTTTTGCATTACAAATGACCGCCACTGTATATTATTGGTGTTAATTTATGAAATAAAAATGTAATATATAATAACCTATAGTCGTATTAAATTCTAAGGATGCCACTGGTGATGAAATTGACCCATGATGATATTTTTCTTCTGTATTAAGTAAGTATCCAAATTATTTGCTATTTCCGAAAAATAAAAATTTATATTAAAATAAATATTTCTAATAGAACCGGACGGATATATTATTATATTTGGGGGTTGTACATTTGGAAATCTTACTAGTGTTAGTCCTAAGCTTGCTACGTTAGACACGAACAAAGATCCGTTCGAATGGTCCATTCAAACTAAATCCGAAGTAAATTCTCCACCGTCTATTTATGGACATACTGCAAATTTATATAATGATTATATGATTATTACATTTGGTAAGTATATTCTAATACTTTTAGTAGCATTTTTTATTATATTAATGATATTTTATATTTTTTCAGGATATGACATGGATGAAAAATTGATACTTCTCATATATCTTTATAATATTAAAAGTAATAAGTGGGTTACAACTTTTAGCCCACCTGATAATAAACTGACCACAACCACTACAATTACTTCGAGTACTAATAAACCTATTATTACTTCTCCACCTGCAGAAAGTCATCAAAATCTTTGGCAATTGGACTTGGGTGCAGAATTTTTGATTTTTTGTATTTTTATTATATTTATTGTTCTTAGAATTAGATGAAATATAGTTTTAAAACACCTGGAAGCAATTGACTATTAATTTAAAAGAAAATTGTAGTAAATTTATAAAAAAGAATAATAAAAATACTACGATATTGGTTGTCACTTTCTTACAAGTGTAACTACTGTATGAGGAATACAGGAATATCCAACTAAGCGAGCAAAGAATCATTTGCTATTTCGTTAATTTTGCAAAAATATTTATTAAGCTTAAAAGGGAAAAGTTTATCGTTCTTTCCATACATCAAATAATTTGTTTTTTGTATTATCATTATTAATTTTTTTTTTTTGATTAATAATAATTGGGAATCGCCTTTTACATCATAAAATAATATTTGCTTTCTATAAAAAATTACTTTCATAAAATTAAATATAATAAAACATATATTTCATCTTTAATGAATCAAGCCAACCGATGGACTTATTTTTCAAAAGTACAGACAAAGTTATTGATGCTTTTCTTGTAATCATCAAATAAGATTGATATTTAGCTGATAAAATATATTTCTAAAATTAAAAGTAGCCGAAATATTAAGTCGTTGTATTATAAAAATTAATAATTTTTAATTTTAATTTTAGATTGAATTAAAATAAATTTATACGAAAATTGTATAGGTTCATCCTTTAAATTTGATGCATAATTCATTCTTATCTTTAAGGTTACTTAGTACCATTTTTGAGATCACTTTTTTTTTTTTTTTTAACCATCGGGCCTTTTGATATTCACTTAATAGTATAAAAAGTTTTATTTGTAGTAACGATGGACGATTTTGATATTATATTTTTATATGAATATAACACGATTATATACAAAATCGTCAGTCGTTGCTACATGTGAAACTTTTTATATTATAAGTGAATACCAAAAACGGTACTACAGTAAGTAACCTCAAATACGAGAATTAATTTTGTATTATATTTAACGAATAGATCTATATCATCGAAATCGAGTGAACAATTATCGTTTTAAGATTTTTTCGTCCGTTCGAATTTAACCGCTAATTTTTCTCTCAGTTTTAATTATATAGCTCTATTCTTTAAATATAATACGCAATTCATTCTTGTAATTAAATTTACTTAGTAGATTTTTGACATTTAATTATTAAAATAAAAAGTTTTATATGTAGCAACCATGGCAATTATTTCCGATTTTATATTTTTTTTATCAGATATCACTGATTATAATTATTATAACTATGGAGCAACCTGGAGTAGCCATGGAGTACCAATCCGATACATTTAACCTGGGTTGGGTTAGGTTGACCCTTGCTCCACTATAACATGAACCCATGATGTTTCATTAACAACACTCCAAGATTTGTGACAAATATCGGGTGATGAATAAGATTTTCATATTCGAAGGGTGTGAAGCAAGGTGATAAATAATCTGCCCTGACTATAGAACACCCACAATCGTTCAAATCTTGGTGCATTCTTTAAATATATTATTGTACGTGAATTATTAGCCTAATCAAAAATTAAATTACATAATAGTATGGAAATTCTCAAAGTTTCTATTGAAAGATTAAATGATTAATGAAGCTGAAGAAGTTTGGAAGAAGGTGAAGTTGGTTGTACCAAATAATGAAAATCATGGTATCAAATATGACAATCCAAGAAACTGGGAATAAGTATTCGATATACTGATAATTAAAAATTTATATGATATTTATTAATATAAAAGAACATATAAAGAGAAAATAAATGAAAATATAAAAATATAAACTACAATTAAAAATTCAAAAAAAAAATTCAAACGAAAAAAAATATAAAATAAAAAATAACTACAAAGCGACAAATTAACTCTTTTAATTTCTCTCCATCTATTCTGACTGTTTGCAAACTATGAGAGATTCTTATATTCTGGTTTCCTAAAAGTTCTTTCATCTTATTACATAAATCTAATTTTCAACGATTTAATTGTTGCGAAGTTTTATGTTATTAGAAATTGTGTCCACGCAACTGATAAATTAAAAGGTATAAATATTATTAATAAATATCAGATTCTTTAAGACGTGATCCGCCTAAGAAAGGCACTATTGACATATAAAAAAGTGGGGTAATTTATGTATATTTTAAGTATGTTTCAAATCTGTTATAGGTCAAAAACATAATAATTTATAATAATTTTAAAAAATTCGTGTTAAAGTCAAATGTCTGTGAAATTTTCAGTGTATAAGAAAGTATTCTTTTATTTTTTGAAAAATTCATCAACCTTTTTACAAAACAATAGACAAATAGTATATTTAACAGATAATAAAACTTCATCTACAATTTCGTTGTACCAATTTATACTTACCTATAGGGAAGCTGATGATTTATAGTTTTATTAAATAACTTATCCCCGGATTTATTATAAAAGAGTACCGATCTTAGCCGGATCACGTCTTAAGTTGCCCCATGCATCGATTAAGAAAATCTATTGAGAACTATGGAGTGAAGGTATTTTAAGGCAAGGATAAACCACGTTAAAGCATTCATCTGGGTTTAAGAATATCTCGGAATGATACCCATTCTTTTTGAGCTTCTAATTGATTGGTAACGAATTGGCATAACAAATGAATGCCTGAAAGATTATCAAATTTATTATTATTATTTGGGACCTCAGTTCGATGCTTGCTTGTGAACAATTGTTAGCCGGTACCCCTTCATCCATAGTATCCATTATGGCAGGTTGCATCGTCTGTCTTTTCTCTTCTTAATAGGGATCGCTGAAATTGGTGGGATCCCTGTCTCCACCACTTCTATCGCTTCCATCGCTTCTATTAGAGGCTTAAACAAAAACAAATAAATAAAATTTACTATATTTTATTTAAATGTAATAACAATTTAATAAAATTTAAATAAATACTACATATACACTTACTCGAAGATTTCGTTTCCTCGTCCAAGACCTTTTCTTTCGACTCCTCTACATCATTATCTTTTCCCCCTTCCCTTTGCTTAATGTGAATTGGCTTAGCGAAGATCACCTTATTTTAAAATAAAGTAAATTATAAATTTTTCTTACCAAAATTAGTATCTAGTTATCAGTTATTTTGATAAAAGAATTATTGGATAAAAATTTACAAAATTTAATAAATTAGCAAAAAATGGAAAGGAAAAAAGGACCGATTTACATATTTAAGAGATATATGGTAAGAAAATTATTAATTATTATTATTATTATTTCATATTATGCATTGTGAATAAACAAAGAAAGAAATAATAAGAATATTCTAGCTTTTGATCAACCTGATGTAAATCGAATTTTGTAAATTACTATTTTATTTTATGTATAATTTCAAAGAAATCGTAGTATAAAATTTATTATTACTAATTTAATTTAACATGTTATGATATTTTTAAATATGCATATCAGTGATCGAAACAATATGCATGTTATTATTATTATAAAATCAAATAAATTATAGTTAATATTTTTGAACATAAACTTTAGAATAATTAACGAATTTAAATTAGCAATACATGTACAACTCTCAATCATTCGGTTTAAAACCGAATTCGAACCGGAAGATTCAGTTCGGTTCTAGATTTACCCTATTCTAAACCGGACCTGTTCGTTTGGAGTTTAGATATATGAAAGTTAGTTATGAAAAAATAATTGGTCGATTTTAACAGTATTGATAATCATTACATTTATACATTTATACAAATTAACTGAAATTTCATATGAATAAGTTAAATATTTAATATTATGATATTAGGTATTATGAAAAAAACATAGTAAACAAAAAAGATTTCTTAAATATTTCCATTATGAGTTGAGGCATTTTTTTTTGCTATTATTTAAATTCTGGTTTAATTTTGATGCTAATATTTTTATGGTAAAATATCTTCGTGTAATTGGATTGCATTTACTTATTTACATATGTAAATAACATTATATAATCAATTTCAACTTGTATTGTATAACTTTTGTATAACTTAAACAAAATATTCATCTGATGTAATTTTTAAATTTCGAATTCTTATTGGTTTAATTTTTTTTTATTTAAAAAATTTTTAATTAAGGATCAGAAAAAAATAAACATATTTAAATAAACAATTCATATCAAGAAAAAAAATCTTAAAATCTTTTTTGAATAATAAATTTTAAAATCACTTTACTCAAGATGAAAATGATAAAATGGCAAATTAACCAGTTACAACAACAACCATCTCAACAACAATTTCAACTATCTCAATTATATCAACTATTTCAACCACAACAACAATCGCAACTGCAACCACCACCAGCACCACCACCACCACCATCCTCAGAAAACGTGCCTATATTGTTGCCAAAATTATTATCAGAACAACGACAACCACCACAACCACCACAACCATCACAACCTCAACCTCAACCTCAACCTCAACAACATCCACCAAAAATACTTATCACGAGATTACAAAGGGCTCCGGAACCACCAAAAATAAAGCGAGGTAGACCACCAAAGCAACAACCACAACAACCTCTATTACCGCCAAGAAGACCAGGAAGACCAACAAAACTAGAGCAACAACAACGAAAATTACTCCAACAGCAACAACTACAACCGCAACAACAACTTCAATATCCACAACCAGAACAACTGCAATATCCACAAAATTCACAACATCAACTACTACGAATTCCACCACAACTAAAACAACTAAAACAACCACAACAACCACAACAATCACAACAAAATATGGTAAATTATTCGCCTCTTGATTTATTGGCTATTTATACTGAAAGACGATACCAGCAAGAAATCGAGGCATCTGTTGGGACGAACCACAATAATACATTGACAATGCTTTCAGCTGTAGCGTCAGAAGTGAGGAGTCGGGGTACAAAACGTAGTATCGAAGATGTAGAAGGTATATTAATATTTCACATTTCATTTTTTTAAAAAAAAAAATTACAATAATTAAAAATAATGCAATTTAATATTAATAGAGGAAAAAGAAAATAATTATGAAAATGATAATACCCAACAGCAACAAAATCAACCAAAAAGAGGGCGAGGGAGACCTCGAAAATATGTTGACCAGCAACAACAACCGCAACAACAACTACAACATCCACAATCACAACGACTACAATATCCACAGTATCCACCACCACAACAACTACAATATCCACAAATTCCACAACAACAAAATGTGGTAAATTACTCACTTCTCTATTCAGTGATTACGTCTGCCGAAAGACAATATCAACAGAAAATCGAGCCAATTGTTGAGATAAACCTGACGATGCATCCAGCTATAAAATCAGAAGTGAAGATTCAGGATAAAAAACGTAGAATCAAAGATGTAAAAGGTATATTTTATTTTTTATTTTTTTTTAAAAAAAAAAAAAAATTTATAATAATGAACGAATAAATAAATAATAATAATGCAATTAATTATTAATAGAAGATAGTAATAATAATAATAATAATAATCAAGAAAATGATGATAACAACAAGGATGATTATGATTATAGTCCCAAAAAAAATAAAATGTCTCGTAAGTAACATTTTTTATTAAGAATGTTAAATATTATTTATTTATTTTTTTATATTATAAAATATATTTTTTATATTTTTTTTTCATTTACAGTTGACTTTATATTGCATTAGTTTACTTCGATACTTTATTAAAAGTTTTATTCGTTTTGATTTTTTCATTAATAAAAGTTTTGAAAGAATTTTTAACATAAGTAAATAATGATTTAAGTGAATAGGTAAATAGTTCTCACAAAAAGATTCGAAATTTTATTAACAAAAGAATAAATATGAAATAAATGAAATAAGAGTTAAAAATGGTTGGAATTATTCAATTATTCTATCTTAATTCTTAATATTACAGTACATAAGAATGAGGTAAACTATAAATTATTATTAATCAATTTTAATATTACATAATAATGGGGTAAAGTATAACTATAATAAGATTTATGATATAAATAAAAAAAAAAATATTATATCTAATTTTATAAGTCCGTAAAAAAATATAATAAGAATCATCCAGGCAATGTGATCTCGCGATTTCTAATGTCAAAACTTAAAAATATTCAGTTACGTTGATTTCACCTGATGTAATAATAAAAAACTTGCATTTTGGAGCAAGCTGTCGTAATTGGTGAATTTTTCATTATTATATCTATATCCTATTAGATTACATATGTAAACCTTAATCAACCTTAACAAATGAAGACTTTATCTGAATTTGAATCATAAAAGATATATTTCAAACGTCAAATGTTTATTGTTACAATTTGTAATGTATATATAGAAGAATTTTTAGAACAGAAACCAAGTTTTCGGGACCAGCAATAATAGGTTTTGAGATGCCTACTGTTTCTAATATATTGCTTCATGATTTATAATTTCGACAATATTCCTTTTCTCCGTTATAAGGTAACTTTATATTTACATATAAAAAGCAAAGATGTTTTTTATTCAAGAATTCGAAGATGATACAATTTATACAGGAGCAAATATAAAATTATGTTTCTTTGTTAAATGTATTCATGAATCTTTGTTTGGAAAAGCTGCATATTATAACAATGGCAAGCTTCTTTTTGGTTTAGAAGAATTCCAAATACAGAATTTATTGAATGATTGGATTTAATGGAATTTATTTTCAAGCGAAGGATTCAACATGTATAAACTAGCGAGAATTTTTTAACCAGTCATCGTGAATTACAGAATCTTGGAAATGTAGAGATTACATCTTTTTGGAAAGATCAATCAGACTGAGGCATTTAATATTGTTAACATATTATAAATTTTTACATTTATTATAATTGTAATTTTTTTTGCAAATAGAATTTTAGTCAACTTCTGAAATTAATAAACTAAATTTAGCTATATTATATATATAATTATATAAGCAAAGATTTTCTAATCCAGTGCCTTTTTCATTTTAAAAACAATACTAAAAAATTTTGTAATTCATTTCAAGAATCCTTAGATGTAAACAAGCGTGTTATAGACGAATGAACATAAATCTTATTCATTATAAGAGAAAGTTTTACTTATGAAGAAATTAAAAAGAATTTAAAAATAAGAAAATGCATTAATATTGAAATACATATTGTGTTGCTTTAAATCTACAGGTGTCTAATGATGTGATACAATTCGTTATGTTCATAAGCATGCACGTTTATATGGAGCTGGTAGAAAGGCATTCAAAAATCTAATTATAACCCATGAAAATTTTTCTAAAAAAACTACTAGCTTTTTTGTTGGATAAAGTACATATTGTTATGAATTCCTAAAAGATTGATTCAGTAACCAATGAACCAATTCATTACTTTAAGTATACTAAAGAAATATTGTGGAAAAAATATATTCTAATGGAATGCAATGAACCAGTTTTTTTATTATTTGTTAGAAATATGGATATAAGTATTTTTTTGATCTTTCTAAATATATTGAAAACGTGAATCAGCCTCTTATACAGGTATAAACTATTCAGAAACAAAAAAATATAAAATGACAAACGAAAAATATGCAAATTTTGGGGTTAAATATATGAATTTCTGTCTTAATTTTATCGATCGCTGCTACTAGGTATTTCAAGATCTGGACGTTGAGGTCTTATTCTACGAAAAATAAAAATTGCGATAAAAATACAAGAAACCAAAACCGCTACGCCTATTGCTGTCCCAAGCACAATCGTCAAAGTTTTTGATGACTTTTTTGCAGGTGGAGAAGTTATACCAGGATCAACGCTAGCAGTACTTGTACCAGTAGTAGTTGTTGTTGTAGTTGTAAGAGTAGGAGTAAAAGTTTTTACCCACATATTACTTTTTATATTATAAAGATATACTTGAGAAGAATATAATTCAGTATCAATTTCAGTTCCTAAAAAAAAAAAATGTAATAAATTAATATAATATAAAAATGTTACTGAAAATACTAGAATCTACATACCAAATGTAATTATCATATAATCATTATATAAATTTGCAGTATGTCCATAAATAGATGGTGGAGAATTTACTTTGGAATTAGATGGAATAGACCATTCGAAAGGATTTTTGTTTGTGTCTAATATAGCAAGCTTAGGACTAACGCTAGAAAAATTATCATATGAACAACCCCCAAATATAATAATATATCCATCCGGTGCTATTGAAAACTTTTATTTTAATATAGATTTTTTATGTTTCGGAAATAGCAAATAATTTGGATACTTACTTAATACAGAAGTAAAATACCATCTTGGGTCAATTTTATCACCAGTGGCATTCTTAGAATCAAATGTGATGGCAATAAGTTATTATATTACATTATTTTGTATAAAAAAAAAAAAATCAAATACATACAACATATGACCATTCAAGTTTACTTGTATCAAAGAGTTTAATCTATGAAAAATTGGATATTATAATACTATTTATGAAAATAATTTAAAAATAATTGATTAATTAATATTCAAATTGCTTACTTGGTTTATATCTGCAAGAGTGTAATTCGCATTAGTACTAATTTCTTCTGCTCCGCCGATATAAACAATAGTTCCATTTGACAAAATATTAGCCGTATATTGACCACATCGATTAGGGAGATTTCCAGATATGCTTAAAGTTGTCCAAGTATTTGAAACAGTATTTAATACATTCATATCATTGTAAAGAATTCCTTTTACATTTACAAGATCAGTAGCATTGTATCCACCAAATATATATATCTTTCCCGAATTATCAATTACTCCTTTAATACTCTGCCTAGGAGGAACTGGATTACCACCAAGTTTTGGAGTAGACCACGTAGAAGTAGGATAATCGTATGCGTAGACGAGATTTGAGTAATCATATTCATATGTAACTTTATTTTGCATGAATCCTCCAAATAGATAAATTGTAGAATTATCCGAACTTAAAACAGCAGTTGATCGATATGTATATACAGGAAGACTTCCTTCAGGAATTAACGTCCATGTTAAGTTTTTATTATCAAATGGCTTTGACAAATCCAAATAGAAAAATTCAAATGTATAACTGGTTAAATTTGTGTAACCACTAAATATTAAGAGTCGATCGTTGATTATTAAACCATTATGGAATTTTCTTTTAGGTGGGTCATAGCATAAAATTAAATTAATTAATAATAAAGTTTGAAAAATAAATTTAAATAATTTAAATGGGAGAAACATATTTAATTAATAAATATTTTTTTTTTTAAAAAAAATATCAAAAATCAAAAAAAAAAAAATTTATTCACCTGCGTGAATTCGAATATTCCAGTAATCAGAAATGATTGCCCTTAATAAGAAAGATTTTTAAAAATTTCTTTATTAAAAGGTAATACAATTACATAAAATAATATAAAAAACTATACTGTAAATTTATTAGTATGTGAATTTATTTCGTTACAATTGCTAAAGCGTAGTACTTGTGAGAAAAACCCATACTGCTTTTTTTTTATATACTGTCTTTTTTTAAATATCAAAAAATCTACTTACCAACTATAGTATAGTAATAAATAAATTTTTGTTCTGTATATTTGATAATATACTGTATATCGTTAAAAATCCAATTGAATATTAAAATCCTAGATGTTGATAACCAATCATAATCATGAACAAATATTTTTTTTATTTTTTTTGTACGGCGCAACGAGACGAGCAAAGTCTCTCTAAAATCATTTCATATATATATTATATTGATAAATTTGAATGATTATTTGTTTAACTGAATCTCATGCAAGTATTTGTGTCTTCATACCAAAAAGAGCAAATAATATCTTGAATGTTTTGAGGTGTTTATGAGAAATTTGTTACCTAAACGACTCGACTCTATGCATGCATGCAAGATAACATTTTCTAAAAAAGTTACGTATTTATAATTTTATTTGTTTATTTATTTCAAATTGTCTGATCAGCAGCCAAAATAACATTATGTGAATATGTGGTTATTTTCAACCAATAAAAATTGTGTATAATTTCTTTTAAAAAAATTTTATGATGGAAAATTTACTGATAGCTAAGAAAATAAGTACACTTATTAAATTTTGAATATTACGATATTTTTCTTTGATTCATTTGATTTTTATAAGTTCTATCTCATATTATGTATTTACTGTAAATTATGAGCCAAATTTTTGGCGCATATGGCGAAAATTGTCCTGCACATTTTTTGCTTATTTCAAATATTAAAAGTTAATGCAATTACATGACATTACATAAAATAATATGGAAATAATTCATAACTATAAAGGCTAATATAATTTCATTGATTTTGATTACTGCAAGATATTTCAAGAATATCTGGACGTCGACTGCTCGTCTCGTTCTACGGAAAACAAAAGTTGCAATAAAAATACAATCAATCAAAACTGATACTGTCCCAAGCCCAATTGCCAAAGTTTTTTTTGACGGAGAAATTGTAGCAGGATTAATAGTGACAGTGCTTGTACCAGAAGTAGTAGTTGAAGGTTTAGGAATAAGAGAAGGAGGCTATAAATTCGAATGGATTTTTGTTTGTGTGCAACGTAGCAAGCTTAGGGTCAACATTAGTAACATAATATAGATTTTTTATGTTTCGGAAATAGCAAATAATTTGAATACTGACTTAACATAGAAGAAGAATACCATCTATAAACAATTTCACCACCAGTGGCATTCTTGGAATTAAATGCGGAAATAAGTTATTATACTCATTATTTTTATTTTATAAAACAAACAAAATACATTCAATATATGGCCATTCATGTTTATTCGTATCAAAGAGTTTAATCTATTAGAGAATATAAAGAATTATGAAAATGTTTTTAAAAATAACGCTGGTTAATATTCAAATTGCTTACTTCGTTACAAGAGTGAAATTCGCGTCAACATTAACTTTTTCTATTCCGCTAATATAAACGATAATTTCATTTGGAGATATTCTTAAAGTTGTCCAAGTTTTCGAAACAGTTTTTAATATATTCATATCATTGAAAAGATATCCTTGATATTTTATTAAATCAGTGGCATTATATCCACAATATATATATTGATCCCGCATTATCATTACTCTTTTTATATTCTGTCTAGGAGGAAACCAAGTTCTGGTATAGACATATTGAATTAGGATTATCATGTGAAATTTTATTTTCGTGAATCCTCAAATTAGATAAATTGTAGAATTATCTAAACTTAAAACAGCAGTCGAGTCATATGTAGAACTCCTTCAGGAATTAAATCCACGTTAAATTGTTATTATTAAATGACTTTAAAAAATTTTTCTACCCCCACATGATTTTCGTTTTCAGGGGTTAGAGTTAGGGTATAATATTTATCACACCCTTCGAATATCGATTTTTAAATATTCTGGGGAACAGAATTTTTTTGCTTGTGGACGACAAACAAATGGTTCAGGAGTCGGAATCATGAAAACCATATTTGTCATCAAATATTTGTCACATATTTCCGATCACCTGTTTAATTATGACCAATAAATTAACGAATTCGAGGGCAGAAAATTTCTGGCGATACTGAGGCAGTTCTCCTAAATCAGGGCTATCATATGTATTAAAACAGAATTACGCTTCAAATAAAATTGACAAAAAATGAAGAATTTTGTCTTTTAACGTTGGATTCGATGGATTTTAAAGATAGACAACAACTGTCTTATATGGAAATGTAGCCAGAAATAATATCTACGATTTTAATTAGAATCATTTTTAATAGTATCCAGTGAAAATTCGGACTTTAATTAGTAGTGAATAAAATCGCCGAAATTTACTAAAAATTTTAAAAATAAAAAGAAAAATCCGAAAATAATTGTCAATCGTTTCTACATATAAAAGTTTTTATTTATTAAATTACTAACAAACCATGTAAATTTAACAATTGTTTTATTTAATAAAGTGTCTAACAAGACTCCGATGGTTAAAAAAAAATTACTAACAAACGTGGTACTAAGTAACATTAAAGCTGAGAATATATAGAATTTTATGTAAAGTATTTAGACAATGTAATTAAAATTGAACGAATAATTAGTGATTAAATTCTGGGGAATAATTTCGAACGTCCGGCGTACAGCCGTTGATATTAAATTTAATTCATAAGTAAAAATTCTAAAACTTTACAAATGATGCTCCATATTCATAGCTCTAATATTAATTAGTAATATATTTGTTGTTTTATTAATAAATAATGAACTTTAATATGTAGTAACGCTTGCTAATTACTTTCGGATTTTTTAATATCAAAGATAAAATGATCGACAATAAATTTGCCTACCGCGTAAATTTCTATGGCATTATTGTCGATCATTTTACCGTTGAATTTTAAAAATAATTATCAAAAGAAATAACAAATATGTTACTAATTAATATTATAGTCAAGAATTGTGAGCACCTTTTATAAAGTTTTAGAATTTTTGCTTACGAATTAAATTTAATGTCAACGAATGAACACTGGACGCTCAAAATTATTCTCTAGGATTCAATCGTTAATTATTCACTCAATTTTAATTAAATATGTTTGAATACTTTAAATAAGATTCTATATATTCTAGGCTTTAATATTACTTAGTGCCACTTTTGTTAGTAATTTAGTAAATAAAAAACTTTTATATGTAGGAATAATTGACAATTATTTCCGGATTTTTTTTTTTTATTTTTAAAATTTTTAATAAATTTCAGCCGTTTTTCATCACGTCTAATTAAAGCCAAATTTTCACTAGATACTACAAAAAATGCTTCTGATTAAATTTATAGTTATTATTCTTGGTTACAATTTCATATAAGATAGTTGTCATCTATCTTTAGAACCCATCGAGTCCGGTACGGGTAACGTTAAAAGATTAAATTTTTTATTTTTTGTCGATTCTATGTATTAGACATATCATATGATAGCTCTGATTTAATAAAAAAAAAGTTTGTGCAATTTAGATCACTCGCTGTGTCACAATAAGCATTTTAATTTTTTATTAATTTTTGCTTGCCCAAGACTTTTGATATTTAATGAATAAAATAACGTAAAAAAGCTTTTATGATCCACCATACATGCACATAATTTAAATATGACGGTAAATGTCAAATTAATATTATTTAAATCGTTAGTAATAATAACATTACGAAGTTTTTGTCATGGTGATCAACCCATATAACTTTTTTTATCTCAAGTAATAAATGAGTTTAAGTATCAAACATGTATAATTATTTTAATTCTAAATGAGATATTCAAAGAATTACTGGAGCAATTTACACATTTGATGGACAAAAAGTATATGATTCAGAAGTTTTCAATTATATATTTTTTTTATTTCTGGTTGTTATTTAAACAATTCATTTTTAGGCTTAATTCGTGATCCACGTAACAACCGGACAAATTTAACTGTAAATTGGAATCCACCTTACTGTACGTTTTTATCTTTGAAATTTATTTAAAAAGCTAAAAAAAAATTACTAGAACGATAGTCTAAACACTTATTTACAAATTTTTTAAAAAAATGTAAAGTGACCCATATTTAGATAATGGACGTCTATATATCCGTTAATTGAATTTAAACCGGAATATCTCGACAGATATCGGTGGTATAGGGATGAAACACATATTATCTTTAGCCCTGAACCAAGGCTTTCGATCAGTCATAAGAATACCTTAATAGAAAATCGCTCCTTGTCTCGCAAATCGCAATCGATGTCAAAAATACGGAATTTTTACGCTAAAAAAAATTCATTTTTTTGACTTCAATCGCGATCTGTGGGACGGTGAGCGATTTTCTATTAAGGTATTCTTATGATTGATTTAAAACCTGGTTCTGGGCTATAAGGTAATATGTGTTTCATTTCTATACCGCCGATATCTGCTGAGATATTCCGGTTTAAATTCAAAACGGCCCGTAAAATATATAATATTACAGATTTACGTCTAAAAATCTCCGATGCCACTAAAACTCAAAATAAAAAAACTTATGGGAAAAGTTTCCAATCCAAATGATTTTGACAAATTTATTCATCTTATGATACATAAATAAAAAATAACTTTAATTTGTTTAAATTTACTGATTATTCTAGTTGAATATTCACAAGAAAATGACTGCCAACACAAATTATTTGGATTTTTTATTAATGATGAAATTTTATGAAATATATTAAATTATAAATTTATCTACGCTTACGTAAATTAAAATTTTAGAATAATGTTTTTAAATTATTTTATATTATTTTATTTTAAGTTTTTTATAATTTATAAATATGTTAATTTCTGTCTTAATTTATTCATTTCGATTGCTACCAGGTATTTGAATAATAACTGGATGTTGTTGGCCCAATTGATCTTCTCGTCTTGTTCTACGAAAAACAAGAATTGCAATAAAAATCAAAGAAACCAAAACCGCAATACCTAATCCTGTCCCAAGTCCAATGATCAAAGATTTTGGAGACTTTTCTGCAGGTGAAGGAGTTATAACAGGATTAAAGGTAGCAGTACTTGCACCAGTAGTACCTGTACTACTAGGAATTGAAGATTCAGAAGAAATAGTAGGAGTAAAAGTTGTAACCCATTTATTACTTTTTATATTATAAAGATACACTTTAGAAGAAAATAATAGAGTATCAATTTCAGTTCCTAAAAAAAAATATGAAACGTTATTAATATAATATAAAAATAGTATTAAAAATATTAAAATTTACATACCAAATGTAACTATCATATAATCGTAATATAAATTTGCAGTATGACGAAAAATAGATGGTGGAGAATTTACTTCAGAATTAGATGGAATAGACCATTCGAAAAGATTTTTGTTTGTATCTAATATAGCAAGCTTAGGACTAACTCCAGAAATATCAGCATTTGAGATAGCGTATGTGGAACCCCCAAAGATGATAATATATCCATCTGATGCTATATTGAAAACGTTAAAATATATTTTTATGCTTTGGAAATGGCAAATAAATTTGATACTTACTTAACACAGAAGTAAAAGAATGTCTTGAGTCAATTTCATCACCAGTGGCATTCTTAGAATTAAATACAATGACAATAAGTTATTATATTATATATTACATTATTTTTATAAAATAAAATCACATACATACAACATATGACCATTCAAGTTTACTTGTATCAAAGAGTTTAATCTGTTTGAGAATAATAAATAATTTTATTTTATATTAATATTAATGAAAATAATTTATAAATAATTTGTTAGTTCGAATTACTTACTTGATTTATATTTACAAGAGTAAAACTAGCAGCATTATAACTAACTTTTTCTATTCCGCCAATATAAACTATAATTCCATTTGGCAAAATATCAGCCGTATAAAGAGCACATACAATAGGAATATTTCCGGATGTGTTTAAAGTTGTCCAAGTATTTGAACCAGTATTTAATACATTCATGTCGTTGTAAAGATCTCCTTGATTTAATGTTAAATTAGTAGCATTAAATCCACCAAATATATAAATTATTCCCGAATTATCAATTATTCCTTTCATATTCTGTCTAGGAGGAACTACATCACCTCTAAGTTCCGGTGTAGACCACGTAGAAGTAGGATAATCATATTTGTAGACGAGATTTGAGAAATCATAATCATTTGTAATTTTATTTATCATTCTTCCTCCAATTAGATAAATTGTAGAATTATCCAAACTTAAAACAGTAGTTGAATGAGATGCATATACAGGAAGACTTCCTTCAGGAAGTAGCGTCCATGTTAAGTTATTATTATCAAATGGTTTTGAAAAATTCAAATAGAAAAATTCATATGTAAAAATGGTTGAATTTATCAATCGCCGAATATTATGAGACTATCATCGATTATTAAACTATTATGTAATTCTCTTCCAGGTGGGTCATAGCATAAAATTAAATTAATTGATAATAAAGTACAAAAAATAAATTTAAACAATTTAAATGGAAGATACATATTTAATTACATAAAGATAATTCGTATAATTTTTTTTTTTTTTTTTAAAAAAAAATGTTTAACTTTGCGATTCTGTGTTCAATTAGTGTAACAAATTCCTGATAACATTTGTGCATATGCATATTATTCATTTTTTGTATAACGATTCGAGCAAATTCAAATTGCATTCTGAATCCGTGCATCAAGGATGCGAAGTCATTCTGTGGAACAGAGCAAAAAATGCCTTAAAATATTTGAAATGCTATAGATGCGCTGGTAATCATTTCTATAAAAGTATTTTAAAATATTCTTTAAACAAGTTTACAATTTGAATATGCGTGATAACGGGGGGCTAAATACCTGCATTACTTTTTTTGATTTTTATCCTAAAAAATCGAGTAATGTAAATATTTCAATTATTTAAAATTCTTAAAATTTAATAGGTTATTATTTATTTTATGAATTTCCATCAAAAATACATCGTAATTTTTTAATTTAAAAATCATTTAATTGTGATCTGGTGATAGAAGTAACATAATTAGTAAAATCTGGCGAAACCATTATTAATAAACCCTGGTTAAATAAATTTTTTGAAACATCAAAACTATAATTACAAATTAGTACTTATGTAACCTAACTTTAAATTATAAAAATAAAAAATGTCTTTTTCTTGATAGTTCTTTGGCCAATCAGTTTCTCGAATTTTCTGAGGAACGGCGGTAAATCATTAATTTAGTTCTAACAAACTCCTCTATGTAATTAATTGTTTCATTATTTGTAAATTTATTTTTCAAAATAATAAACATCTTGGAGTGAGTCTCTGTTGGTTAAAAAAAAAGTCTTTTTATTGATATTTCATAACTTAACTATAAGGCAAATGCAGATTTCACTTTTTAACTTTATCATTTTACTTCTATCACGGATCAGAATTTAATTTTTTTGATGAGAAAATTTATAATGACGATCATGATTCGAAGAGATTTATAAACGTCCCTTTCTCCATTAATTTCATAAAAAAGTAATAATTCTGATTAATATATATTTTTTAGTCTTGAATGACAACATCAATAAAATAAAGAGATATGCCTTTTTTTAACGATTAAAAAATAAAATTTTCCTCCGTTTCTGCCGAGTAATATAATTTCATATTTTTCTTAGTACTCCTCAATTGTATTTTATCAACTTCTCTAGCTTTTACATATGGGCTTAAAACAGGATTAGGATTAGGTGAACGGTTCCGGTTTCTTGTATTTCAATTAATATTTTTCATAGAAAGCGAGCAAGTCAAGAAATACAACCTTCAGTTATTCGACTGACTGGTAATCAACAAAAAAATTATAAATTATTAAAAAAATTTGAATTATGGTTTTACTGTAAATTAATTTTTATTATGCAATTGTAATAAATTTTATAATAAGGCATACTTCATCATTAAAAAAAATCGAATACTAGAATATTGGTCCCGTCATAAGTTCGGTTAATTGTAATTACTATTTGAAGAATACAGACAGAAATATTCAACTAAGCGAGTAATGAATCATTGATCATTCTTTAGTTTACATATAAAAAAAAGTAATAAGTTTAAAAGGGAAAGTACTATATGCCATATTATATTAAATTAGTTTTAATAAAATGAATTCAGTTCATCAATCACCCTAGAACCCATTTAATTTGGTCTCGCTTAATGAATCAAACCAATTGATGAATAATTATTTTTACAAGCACGCTTCCTTGAGATCACCAAATCAACATTAAGCTTATAAAGTATACAGTTAAAATTAAAATCTGAGCCTTTATGCATTGAAAAGTAAATTTTAAGTTAATATTTTATTATTAAAATTCATTAACTTTATTATTTTGTAATGTATTATTTTGTATTTATAAAAAAATATGCACACATTCTGTATTATATAAAAAAAAATTTCTCAATCATTCTATAGAAATGCACAGTTTATAATAAATCGAGCCTTACGCAATTACTACCCTTACGGAGATCTTGAATAATTTTCCCAACTTTTCATGCCAGAAGCTGGGAGAAACACTCTTCGGTGCTACTGATTTCATCCATATTTATCTCTGTTTTTCCCTTTTATCAACCATTTCATACACATCAAGATACAGGTCATTTTCCTTCTTCAAATTCATATTATTTAAACCTTTCAGGGGCCAGGTCTAGAAATTCTAATTTCAGTTCTTCTTCCATGTACTCTCTGAAAGTCCTTTTTTTATATTCTATAATGGGAGTGATCAGGCACTCCCATTGTTGTCATTACTAGCTACGGGTTGTTTTTGAGAATTGTTATCTGTGATAGAAATTGATTATTATTATTTTATTGAACGAAATATTTCTGGTAATTGATGTTAATATAGATTCAACTATTATTATAAAACTATTACCAGATTTTTTTAATTGGTATTAAGAATATCTTAGTAAAGAAACTTTGGACAGAAGACGACAAAAGTTTAACAACTTTGAAAATTTATACAAGGATCTAAACTAAACTACATTTTTTAAGAACAAATCATTCATAGAGCTGTTAAAATAACACCAAAGTTAACTTAGTGCCAAAACATCAAAAATGCTCAAATTTACTCAACTTGGTACATTCGCTTAACGATAAAAACAAAACAATTTATGAAATAACTTCGACAGGTATAAATAAAGCAATCAGTAAATTGGTAGATTCAGTTTAAGAACAATGCAAAAATTCTCCTGATAATATTTAATTGACGTTAGTGAAGAGAAAGAAAAAGGAAGATAATCCTTCACCAGTAGAAAAAGGAATATTTGCGACAAGTAAATCAGACAGTATAATAAGAGTATTTTTTGAGATGCAAACGGAAATGGTAAAGTTAATAGAAAAGAATAGAAACCAATAAGGCCTGGTTGGCATGAGTGGTAGTGACATAGGCTTCAGGAAATTTTTTTTTAAGTGTAAATCTCCTTAACATCACGACACCTACGTATATTTTACAGTATTTATACAGTGCCGTTTTGAATTTAAACAGAATATCTCGACGGATATCGGTGCTATATGGATGAAACAAATATCATTTTGTATCGCAGAACCAGAGCTTTCGATGAGTCTTAAGTAGAGATGGTGGTGAAACTCAATAAAACTTGGTGAAACCTGATGATTTAGTTTCACAATCATCTCTAGTCTTAAAAATATCTTAATAAAAAATCGCTTTCTGCCTCACAAATCGCAATAGAATTCAAAAAAAAAAGAATTTTTATGGCGTAAAATTCCGGATGCCACTTTGACAAATTTATTCATTTTTTGATGCATTCTTTTCGCGCTTGTTATGCATAAAATAAAATAATTTTACTTTGTTTAAATTTACTGACTATTTTTAAGAAATAAAAAATGATCCTTTAGTTGAATATTCATAATAAAATGACAGCCAACACATAGTATTTGAATTTTTTATAATCATGGAATTTTATGAAATATATCAAATTACAAATTTATCAGGTTAATACAATTGCATAAAATAAAATAATATGAAAATAATTTAAAAAAGATAAATCTAAAATGAAAATTTTCGATTGCTACCAGGTATTTGAATAAGATCTGGATGTTGTTGGCTCAATTGATCTTCTCGTCTTTTTCTACGAAAAACAAGAATTGCAATAAAAATCAAAGAAATTAAAATCGCTATACCTAATCCTGTCCCAAGTCCAATAATCAAAGATTTTGAAAACCTTTCCGCAGGTGAAGGAGATATAACAGGATTAGCAGCAGCACGAGTAGTACTTGTACTACCAGGAGTTGAAGAAAGAGGAGTAAAAGTTGTAACCCATTCATTACTTTTTAAATTATAAAGATACACTTTAGAAGAAAATAATAGAGTATCAATTTCAGTTCCTAAAAAAAATATGAAACGTTATTAATATAATATAAAAATAGTACTAAAAATATTAAAATTTACATACCAAATGTAACTATCATATAATCGTAATATAAATTTGCAGTATGACGAAAAATAGATGGTGGAGAATTTACTTCAGAATTAGATGGAATAGACCATTCGAAAAGATTTTTGTTTGTATCTAATATAGCAAGCTTAGGACTAACTCCAGAAATATCAGCATTTGAGATAGCGTATGTGGAACCCCCAAAGATGATAATATATCCATCTGATGCTATATTGAAAACGTTAAAATATATTTTTATGCTTTGGAAATGGCAAATAAATTTGATACTTACTTAACACAGAAGTAAAAGAATGTCTTGAGTCAATTTCATCACCAGTGGCATTCTTAGAATTAAATACAATGACAATAAGTTATTATATTATATATTACATTATTTTTATAAAATAAAATCACATACATACAACATATGACCATTCAAGTTTACTTGTATCAAAGAGTTTAATCTGTTTGAGAATAATAAATAATTTTATTTTATATTAATATTAATGAAAATAATTTATAAATAATTTGTTAGTTCGAATTACTTACTTGATTTATATTTACAAGAGTAAAACTAGCAGCATTATAACTAACTTTTTCTATTCCGCCAATATAAACTATAATTCCATTTGGCAAAATATCAGCCGTATAAAGAGCACATACAATAGGAATATTTCCGGATGTGTTTAAAGTTGTCCAAGTATTTGAACCAGTATTTAATACATTCATGTCGTTGTAAAGATCTCCTTGATTTAATGTTAAATTAGTAGCATTAAATCCACCAAATATATAAATTATTCCCGAATTATCAATTATTCCTTTCATATTCTGTCTAGGAGGAACTACATCACCTCTAAGTTCCGGTGTAGACCACGTAGAAGTAGGATAATCATATTTGTAGACGAGATTTGAGAAATCATAATCATTTGTAATTTTATTTATCATTCTTCCTCCAATTAGATAAATTGTAGAATTATCCAAACTTAAAACAGTAGTTGAATGAGATGCATATACAGGAAGACTTCCTTCAGGAAGTAGCGTCCATGTTAAGTTATTATTATCAAATGGTTTTGAAAAATTCAAATAGAAAAATTCATATGTAAAAATGGTTGAATTTATCAATCGCCGAATATTATGAGACTATCATCGATTATTAAACTATTATGTAATTCTCTTCCAGGTGGGTCATAGCATAAAATTAAATTAATTGATAATAAAGTACAAAAAATAAATTTAAACAATTTAAATGGAAGATACATAATTAATTCCATAAAGTTAATTTTTTTTAATTTAAATGGAAGATACATAAACTGTAAGTTAAATTTTTTTTTAAAAAAAAAATGGTATTAATTTTGACTTTTATGAATCGTTCAGTGCAGTGTAACAAATTCATTTTTCTTGTCAAGTGATTTGCAAAAATGCACTTTGGTAATCATTTCTTTAAATTTAAACAATTAAAACAAGATATTCCAGCTTAATTTTTGGATTCTTACCTATTTTTTTTTAATTATATGTTGAACCCAAAGTTAGATTTGGATCCCAATTCAATTCCGGAATGGATATTTCCAACAATACCTCAAAATCCTAATGTAATGCCACTCATCATAAATTAAAGGAAATTTAATTCCTCTGAGTTGGAGCGAGAGATAGTTAAACGAGTGAATTATGAACTAATGATGTTCACGTTGGATGGGGTATTTTTAATATTCTAACTTTTATAAATATTCAATTATTTGAAATTTATTAATTTTATTAATTTAATTATGATAGCGACATGATAAAGAATTCAAACCAGAGTTTCGTCTGTTAAAATATTTTCGTCATCATAATGAAAATCATAGAGAAGGAGGAAGGGAGAAAGTTATTAATTAAATCATTTATTTAAAATTATTTTATTTTTAAAATTATTTATTTTATTTTTTCTAGGATCCATTGATAATACTACAAAATTTATGCATTAGTTAAAATATATCATGATGCAAATGATAAACCACAAAAAATATCTAAATCATATGGGCGCATTTGATTCATCAACTAATAATTTGTTACACAAATTTCAAGACTGTTATAAAGTAACATGTTTATTAATATATTATTTCTATAATTAAAGTTGTTCTTTAATATCAAAACTAAGTGAAAAACATGAAAAAACATAATAAAACAACTTTATTGTGCAATAGAATATGAAATAAAATGAATTGACGTAAGTTGGGGGTTTGAACGATGGGTTGGGTGTCGGGACGATGGGTTAGACTGTTGTATAGTCGGGCGTTTTTCGGGTTTAAAGCTTCTATTTACATAATATCCCGTCATAAAATAGGCGAATATATGTAAAAATTCATGTTAAATATTTTTTGTTAGAAGCGAAAAGGTAGTTAACATAATAAAGTTTTGAGTTTTCTTATGTTTTTTATACCTTTATCTTTAAAACAGTCCAATCACAATTGAGGATCTAGATCAAATAATAGTTTTTGATTGGATAAAAACTCTAGAACCAAATGCGCCCATATGTTTTATTCGAACGGTTGGTAGAAAAGGATATTAAATAAGCATCACAAAAGTAAGATATTATTATATTCATTCTTAATACAAATATCTAATATATTTACTTTTAATATATCTTTAATTTATAGGTCACATTATTTAAATTTTAAAAAGGTTTTATTGTTCTAAATATTGTAAATAATAAGCTTCAATAAGATTCTGAATCTCAGTCATTTCATGAATTAACGGGATGATTATATGAAAAAACAAACTAAACGGAGATCGTTATGGGAAAGCAACCATTTCAAATAATTAAATTTTTAACACAAAATTCACCCTCCAAAGTTATTCAATCTATCATTTGAAATCATTTGAATTCAAATTCAAGTAATTAATTATTAAAATTGATTCTATCTCGACCTCTACAATTAAGGAATCCAAAAGATAAAATCAGGATGTTTCCACCACCATTTCCTCCTCCACGCAGAAGAAACTCACGAATATCATCACATGTCTCTTAATATCTTACATTGACACAGACTCCAATACAATCTTTATCTAACGACTCGAAATCAAATATATAAACACATTTCCATAAAAACCATCAAACTCAATGTCAACAGTCTGATTTGATCAATCTCAACAACAACATCAACAAATGACATTATCCAATTCAAATACCAGCATCAGTAATTACCTCATTCCGGAACTTCGCATGATAGTCAACGACTTTATAATAATTCATCTCAGATAATTCGTAATTCTTCTTATTGACTCAGCAGAAACAAAATTCACAACGAATCTGATCTGCTACTCTTTCGCTACTTCAACATTATCTACAACAAATTCGACAGCAGCAACATCAACAACAATAAATAGACCGATCTCTACTGCTTCTACAAAATTAAATATTGAAATGTTTCATCATAAATTTTTCCAATCAAGTCACAAATAATAATGTGACTATTCAAAGACAAATGGGTAATCATGCTTTAAATGATAATAATAATAACATCAATAACAATAATATTCCAATGCAAATAACCAAAAAACTCCAAATCATTGTGAAAATATTTCATACGAATGATTAATTCAGTTCAATCCAATCCAATTCAAAGATTGAAAATGATGACCAATTCAGTTCAAACTTTGGATGTAATGGTTAATCGAATTTCAGAGAATATTCCGAGGCAAATTGCGGTTCAAAGCAATGATTCAATAGTAAATTATCACGGTGGTGGTGCAAATATGCCAGTTCAAATGGCCAATCAAATAATGGAATAACGTGAATAATGTGAATAATGGTATGCAAATGGCCAAAAAAGTATCCGTGAATCCTGTAGAATTCCTATAGTTGTAAATTACAAAGAAGATGAATTTGCGTCAAATGGACAGATCACAACAAAATCAAACCAATCTACGACAGCAACAACAATGAGCCTCAGCAACCACAATCCAATAATAATCATCATTTGCATTTTGTTAATCAGAAATCAATATTCTTTCATTGTAGTTTTTTTAGTTTTTTTTTTTTTTTTTTTTTTTTTTTTTTTTTTTTAATTTGGTAGATCCTAATATTTTCAATATATGAAAATGTTGTTAATTGTGTGTGACATCATGTGAAATATTATAAATCTGATCCTTTCCATTTATTAATGTTTCTTACAAGAATTTTTTTTATTAGAAAAATGAATTCAAGGAATTTTATTTATAAATATTTTGTTTTTAGTTGCTTATTATATTTTCTAATTTTTTTGGGGATTCTTCTGAATTTTTCAATTTTTTTATTTAACTTATAATATATATGGTATCCTCATCAATATGTTAAATGATTCTTTTGAATCAATATTATTATAATCATTGACAATTTGAAGTAGTTGATTCATTAAACTCATACTTTTGAATTTCCTTTTCCTCCGTAGAATCAATATTATAAGTATCAACATAAGAAGTAATTGATTCATTGGATTTTAATAATAAATTAGGATCTATAAATTTAAATTTTATAATTAATTACTTATTAAAACTAAAATAAAAATTACATTAAAAATATTACCTGATGAATTTCCAGATTTATTTCTTCTAATAAATCATGCAATTCATGAAGAGTATGAATATACCGGCTAAATATAACATGATTGAGGATGTAACTTACTTGAATGTGAAAATAATTCAAATAATTCTTGCTTTTGAGATTTTGATGTATTTTTTTGATTTTTGTCAGCAATTTTAAATTGTTGCAAAACATTAATATGATAATAATCTTCGTATATATTACCAAAAGAAATAAACAATCTATCAGCAGTTGGACGTTCAGAAGGATTATCACTCCAACATCGATACATCAAGCTTAAATACCATTCTGGAATCCAATTTAACATAAATTCAGGAACCTTTGGCCTTACACCATTACATATATCTATCATCAAATAAGTATCATGTGCTTTGTCAGCAAATGGTCGTTGTGCAGTAACATAATTCCACCACAACTATAAATATCACCCTCCCTTGTAAATTTATTTCCTCTTGATACCTCAGGTGGAATGTATGGAATTGATCCATTAATTTTGTTATTTTTGTTATCAGAGTTTAAAATAAAACCAAGAAATTCATTTTTAGTTTCGTTTTTTAATTTACATGAATCTAAATCTATTCTTAAGTCAGAATTGTGAAGGTTGAAATTATCGTTTATCAAAATATTTCCACTATGAAAGTTACAATGAACTAAATCTTTTGCATGTAAGCTTCCAAGACCATCTGTTATTGAAATTATTAATTCCATTTTTATTTTCCAACTTAAAGCCCAAAAAGTTTTGATTAAAAAGTTATGTAAGTCACCATCAAATAAATCCATCGTAATAATGTAGTTTTGTGTAGAAGGATTTTTTGAAATTCCATAATATTTAGCAATATATTTATTATCATAATCATCTTTATCAGTTCTCCATCTTAATATGAAGAAATATCGAGAGACAAAATTAATAAATTACGAAAAATTAATAATAGTTCATAATAACTCATATTCTAAATATAAAGAAACATACCACCACTTTAAGAAATTCAGCTATATCGAATCTAGAATCTTTTATTTCTTTTAAAACAACTTTGTAGCTTATTAAATCATATTCCCAATCCTGTTTAAAAAAAACTCCAATGCAATTTTATCCCATTTTCTAATTTGGCAGAATACACGGATCCATGGCCACCATCTGCTATGTATTCGATATTTTGAATATTATCATAAGGTATCTGATGGAACTTCTTGTAATTTATTTGAGATTCTTGTATAATATTATTAATGTCAGTATTTCCACTAGGCATGTTGAATATTTATTTATTTTTTTTTTGTTTCATTTAAACAAGTACGTAAACTTTTCTTGGTTGATTTCATGGTATTGCAAATGGTTTTTTAAATTAAAAAAAGATCTGGATATAATCGATAATTAAATATTGTAATAACTATATTATTTGTAATTAAATAGGAATATTAAAGTTTCAATATAAAAGCAGATAATAAAAGAAGTAGTTAGTTAAAATAGACTATATTATAAATTCCCTTTTTTTTTATGTACGTGCTGCCGATTTCAACTTTTACAAACATACCATTTGGAAGATTCTAGCTGGTCTTCATTCCTGTATCAAAGAGCTAGAAAAAAAAAATAAGGAGTCAATTAAATGGAAAAAAAAATAAGCTAAACAAGAGAACCCGGAAGAAGTAACTTATATATTAAAAATATTGTATTTAATAATTATTACTTTGTATTCTAAAGGATAATATCTAAAATATTCAATAGAAATATTCTTAACTATAAGTCAGGGCTCAAGAAAAGGTCTGTTCTCAAATCTACATAACAGATTAAATTCAGAAAGGAGTATTTATAACTCGCTTCGAAAAGTACTTTATGATCTTATTGATAGGTATGCACTGCACCCAATAATAAAGATTATACAAGATCGAGTGGAAAAACTGGTGATATTTTTTCTCTTTTTTTTTTTTGTAATTCAAGATTTTATTTTATTCGCTATAAGTACAAATACAAAGTAGCAAATAAAAAAGATTCCAAAATTTTAAAATCAAGATTAAAATTTTGTAATTCTTTATATAATATAAAATGTGTTTTGATCTGTCTTTTTACATAAGTTTTGTTAATATTTTTCTATTTTTTATAAAGTTTGATTAAGCAAACTTTTTAAATTTTAAAAGAAAAGAAAAAAAGGATTTTCAAAATTTCGGTTTTGTACATGTGATTTTATAAATTCATATTGTGGTGTCCGCTACGAAACAATACAAAAAGTTACGGCAACCAGTCTCACTAAATCAAGTTCTCGTTGCGCCTTTCTCTAAATTACACACTATTCACAAGCATTACGTCGCTTGCCTAAATCTATCACAAACTTTTCGTGCAATCATTACAATCGATACGGTATACCCCAAAATCTCTATCCACTGTTAGGATTAAGCGGTACGTCGCTTGCCTAAATGCAGCAGATATCTATTACAACTAACTCAGTAAATTTAGATGCACTGGCGCAATCTGAAGGTATGTGAGTAAGTGGAGTAAAAGCATCTTTTTTACAGCTTACTACGCAAACTTTCAATCTTAGCTTCAAACTTTATGCAGTAACTTTATTCACGAAATAAGTAATAAAGGTATTACGGGTTGTTAACCGTTTCTCACCAATATTACCGTTTTTAAGGTTTTCAAATTAACACGAAGTATTCTGAAATTATTTATTATTAAAAATAAAAAAAAAACTATTACAAAATTATTTATTGTTATTAAAATTATTCGAAACTATCTGTTGTTACTAAAATTATTAAGAATTATTTATTATTTTCGAATATATTAAGAAAATATTATGATTATTAAGGAGAACAAAAAAAATATTATGTGAATTCCGAATTTTTTTGCGAGAAGAGGAATCTCCTTCTCCTCCTTTTTTCGCTGGTTATTTTTATACCTTCCAATTTATTCTCTTTTTCCTTTTGTTTTCGCGTCTAAACACGTTTTCTCCTTTCCCGAGGATGACACACAAGGATGAGAAATCTGTCATTTAGATGGTAGCACACTCATCCTCAGGTAACACTGTCATCTTGCTACCATCTCCCGTGACCTTCGTAACCTTCCGCAATCCTCGTACAGCGTTCCCCGTGGCATTCGTGCCACCTCAATATTACACTAGTGCACATGATAAATATATATTTTAAAATTAGATAAGCGGTTGAGAAGAAAGTTTAACAATTTGATTTTTTTTATTATATATAAAAAGTAGTTATTATTAAAAATTTTTAATTTACTTATAAATAATTAACAAAATTATATTATAATGTATCCGATAATCTAATAAATTTTATAATCAAGATAAAAAATTTTTAATTTTAAAAAAATTACAAATCTTTTTGCAACGGACCATCCTTTAGAAAATGGTTCAGATGTCAAAATAATCAAAAGAATGAAAGTTGGTCCAAATTCAATTAGAAAATTTATTTAATGATTTATAAATTTACTTTATTAAATTAATCCACTTTATTTTATTTATTTAATATAATGACTGATTTTTATCATTATATTTTTTTTAAACTTGAACTGTCATATACCTGATAGTAACTGTATATCTTTTAGTGTTATATACTTTTTTTTTACAAATATTTGTATTGTTTACTTTATTTCTTTAATTTAGACAATATTAGAATTAAAAGTTGCAAATTAGCTGATTTAATTAATATTAAAAATTCTCTGACATCATAACAATTAACCAAGATATCTGTATACTTATTTAGAAATTAAAAAAAAATGATGTTTAGATTTTAAAGCTGATTTTATATATATATAAATAATTTTTCTGCTATAATAATATTTTCATAAGTTGCATAAATTTAATGATACAGTACGAAATAGACTTTTAAAAAAATTTTATAATTATGACTAATAAATTTCACTGGATGTATTTTTAATATGAATATTGATAAATCCGTCTCAAATAATTTTGACTTATGATCATGATGCATTCTATCAGAACTAGTTTATACATAAAATATTAAAAATATTTTTAATTTGTTTAAGTTACTAATTATTTCTTGTAAATTAAGAAATAACAAATGTCCTTAGCTAAATATTCCTAAGAATATGTCAACCAAAATCGCATCGTAGTATTTGGATTTTTTTTTTTAATGATAAAATTTCATGAAATTTGTCAAATTATAAATTTATTAGAAGTTAATACAATTACATAAAATAAAATAATACGGAATAATTCATAAGATAAATCTAAAATTTTAATTTAAGTTATTTCTAAGTTATAAATTTGTGAATTTCTGTCATAATTTCATTAAATTCAACTAGTGTTGCCATGTATTTGAAATTGCCTCGATCGATCTGCTCGTCTTGTTCTACGAAGAACAAGAATTGCAATAAAAATCAAAGAAACCAACGCCACTATACCTAATCCTGTCCCAAGTCCAATGATCAAAGATTTTGATGACTTTTCTGTAGGTGAAGAAGTTGTAGTACGACTAAAGGTAGCAATAATTGTACCAGTAGTACTTGTACCAGAAGGAGTTGAAGATTTAGAAGAAGGAGTAGGAGTAAAAGTTGTAACCCACTTATTACTTTTTATATTATAAAGATATACTTGAGAATTATACAATGCAGTATTTATATTAAATCCTAAAAAAATATGAACCGTCATTAAATATAATAGAAAAATGTACTAAAAGTATTAAAATATACTTACCAAATGTAGTTATCATATAATCATTGTATAAATTTGCAGTATGTCCCCAAATAGGTGGCGGGGAATTCGCTTCGGAATTAGGCGGAATGAACCATTCGAAAGGATTTTTATTTGTATCTAACACAGCAAGGTTTGGGCTGACAATAGTATAATTACGTGTACGACCTCCAAATACAATGATATATCCATCCGGTGCTATATAAAAGTATTCATTTTAATATTAATTTTATTTAATTATTTAAGATAATAAATAATTAAAATAATTTAGATACTTAATACAGAAGTATGATGATTTCGTGAACCAACATCACCAGTGGTTATCTTAAGATAAAAGAATTTAAGTTAAATTTTATTACAATATGTTATAAATTAACATCAAAAATGCATACCATTTGTGACCATTCATATGTATTTGTATCAAAGAGTTTAATCTAATCAAGAATAATATTTTATACATTAATATTTATGAAAATAATTTAAAATAATTTGTTAATTTATAATCAAATTGCTTACTTGGTTAATGTTTACAAGCACATCGTTAGAACTAACATTTTCTGATCCTCCAATATAAACAATAATTCCACTTGGCAAAATATTAGCGGTATATGTATTACATGGGTTAGGAAGATTCGCAGTTATGCTTAAAGTTGACCAAGTATTTGAAACAGTATTTAATATATTCATATCGTTGTAAAGTACTCCTGTATTGTTTATTAAATCAGTGGTATTATATCCACCAAATATATATATTATTCCCGAATTATCAATTACTCCTTTTATACTCTGTCTAGGATGAACTATATCACCACCAGGTTCTGGTGCAGACCACGTAGAAGTAGAATAATCATATTTATAGATAAGTTTTGAGTAATCATAATCAGATGTAATTTTATTTTTCATGTATCCTCCAATTAGATAAATTGTAGAATTATCCAAACTTAAAACAGCAGTTGACCGATATGTATATACTGGAAGATTTCCTTCTGGAAGTAAAGCCCATGTTAAGTTGTTATTATCAAATGACTTTGACAAATCCAAATAGAACAATTCAAATGAATAATCGGTTGTATTTGTTTCTCCGCTAAATACCAAGAGTCTATCGTTGATTATTACACTATTATGGTATCTTCTTTTAGCTGGATCATAACATAAAACTAAATTAATTAATAATAAAGTACTAAAAATAAACTTAAATAATTTAAATGGGAGATACATATTTAACAAATTATATAAATATTAGATATTTTTTTTTTTAAAAAAAACCGTTTTAAAAGAAATTAAAAAAAAATTTCTACTTTTACTAGAATATTATCTTGCATGCATAATGAACGGAGTTTTCTGACCTTCTGTTCCGAATAAAATGATCGATAATAAAGTGTGAAGAAATTTCTCATAAACCTAATTTTTTATTTTCAAGGTATTTTTACTCTTTTGATATGAAATTCTCAGAAAGATTTCACATTCTTGAGCAAATCACTTGCAAGAATTCAGTTAAAACAATATTCATTCAAATTTTATTAATATAAAATGATTTTAGAGACTTTAAATCTTTATACATCTATGCTGGTAATCATTCCTATAAAAGTATTCTTAAAATAATTTCGCATGCATCAAATATTTTTTTTAAAAAAAAATTTGCATAAAAATATTCCCAAACTCACATCCGGAAATTTTTTAGGCCGCGATATTACAGTATTTATACTGGCTGTTTTGAATTTAAATATCAGTGCAACTGGCATAAAATATATATTATCTTGTAGCTCAGAATCAGGACATTTCATCGTTCATAAGAATACCTTAATAAATCGCGATCAAAGTCAAGAAAAGGAAATTTTTTTAGCGTAAAAATTCCGGTGAAATTACGATTTTACTCCCCAAAAAATTCCGTTTTTTTGACTTCGATCGCGATTTGTGTGATATGGTGCGATTTTCTATTAATATGTTCTTATGATCGATCGAAAGCCCTGGTTTTGGGCTACAATATAATATGTGATTCGTCGCTATAGCACCGAAATATATCGAAATATTCTCGTTTAAATTTAAAACGGCCTGTATAAATACCGTAAAATATACGTAGGTGTCATACTATGACGGTTAACGGATTAAAACTTTTATCTTAAAAAAATTGAATAAATATGCAGGGTTAAGAATAATTCATCTGATGCTATAGAAAATATTTATTTTAATATGAATATTTCAATTATTTAAAATTTTAAAATAAATAAGTTATTATATTACTTATTTATTATATAAATTTTTATCAGAAATATCAGAATACATACCATTCGCATTTTGAAAATATGAAAAATAATTTCTAAATTATTTAAATCGCCCGCTTCATTTTGAATTAGATTTGTATCTTTTAACAAATTTTTTTTCCCCCAATATACATAATAAATCCATTTGTTAAAATATTATAACCCGAATAGAATAATAAATTTATCCAAATTAAATTCTCCGCAATCTATTTTGGAACATATTGCAAATTTATATTATGATGATAACTACATTTGATAAGTAATGGATTTGGTTTCTGTATCTGCAATTTATATTTCAATTAATTAATCTTCATGTATACGGAATATACAACTTCATTTTTAATGAATCAAATCAACTGATGGATAATTATTGATAAAAGAAATATTGAAGAGCTAAATATAAAAGTTAGCAATATTATTGATCCGAAAAGAAGAAATGAACTAATAAGAAGAAAATTAGAGATGAATATTATAATATTCTGTAATGTATTATTTTGATTTATAGAAAATTATATATATATATATTATATAATGAAATATGTTTCTATTACCGGAATATTGTTCTACAGAAAGTGCTCAATTTATAATAACCGATATCAATGAGTCATGGGAAATTATTGATTCAATTTCTACATCCGCCTATAAAATTGATTATAATGTCATTTTTGTTTATTTAATGTATTTCTATCTTTTATTTTAATTTACAATATCAACAAAATATGTATATACAATTCATGTTTAAAAATGAAAATAATATATGTCTTCATAAAATGTATCCATAGCTAATTCGACTAATTCATTTATATAAAATTAACTTTAATGTTGGTGATGTTGATGATATAAAATAGTGTTGTTATTTTTCAGAATTTATATCTCTTATTCTTATCGGCAATTAAAAAAAAAAAAAGTTATTTTTAAAAAATTCTACATAGCAGACAATAAAATATGCATCAACAACACATTATCAATGTTAGAACTTGAGGTTTCGTTATTTTCAGAAGGCTGATAAACAATGTCCATATTTTATTATATAATTCATTATTTTCGGAAAAAAATTATTCGATAATTTGATACGCGGATACATTATTACCAGATTCAAGGTCATTATTTTTATATTGATAAATATCTGTAATCAAAGATTCATCTGAAACGAATAATGAACTGGAATCAAAGTGAGAATTTGAACTTAAACAAAATTTCGATGTCTTATTCTTGTAAACTTGAAACAAGAATTCCAATCCTTTTTTTTTTTTATCTCTCTTGTTGCCATTTTAAATAAGTACAGTACGTAAAAGTTTTTTGGTTGGTTTCATGGTAATTTCAAATGGTTTTTTTTTTAATTAAAAAATTTTTTTCATAAAGGAATATCTAGATATAATCAATAATTAAATATTGTAATAACTATACAGGCAGAGTTATTAAAGTATATTAGTTGTAATTAAATAGGATTGACGATAAAGTAGTTAGTTAAAATAGACTATATTATAATTCCCTTCTTCCTTCTTTTTTTTTTCTGTCCTTGTTGAGATTTTAACTTTTACAAACGATGACATACCATTCAGGAAATTTTAGCCAGTCTTCCCTCCTTTATCAAAGAACTAAAAAAATAAGTCTAAACAAGAGAACTCGGAAGAAGTATATATTAAAGACATTTTATTTTTTTAAAAAAAATAAATAAGGTTTAATATTTATTACTTTGTATTCTAAAGGATAATACCTAAAATATCCAACAGAAATATTCTATCTCTAAGCCAGGGCTTGGGAAAAGGTCTATTCTCAAACTATAAATATATAGCACATTAAATTTAGAAAATAAAATTTATAACTCGTTTCGAAAAGCATTTTATGATATTGTTGATAGGTATACACCCAATAATATTAAATATAAAAATATAGATATAAATGTTACGGTCTGAATTTACAGTATGTTCGAATTTTTTTTTTTTTCATTTTTATTATTTATTAAAGAATTAGTAAATTTTTGTAAGAAAATTATTTCTGAAATATTAAAAAAGATTTCAGAACATCACGTATACAAATTTTGGAAGATCCGAAATTTTAAAATCAAGACCATAATTTCTTTTCTTTTTGATTGACTTAAGATTTTTTTTACCTTAAATACTTAGAAAATGGTTCCGAACATTAGATTATATCAGAATAATCAATAGAATGGAGGATGGATTGAATTCAATTAATTTATTTAATGATTTATATACTGTATTTACTTTATTAAATTGGTCCAATTTATTTATTTATTTAATACAATAACAATGACCAATTTTATATTTTTTTAACTTGAAATGATGATGAACTGGACTGGTACAATCTAATGCATCTAATACACTTGTATGTCATATTTTATTCTTTTAATTATATACATATATATATACTTATTTACAAATTTTTACATTGTTTACTTAATTTCTTTTACTCTAGGTTATATAAGACCAAAAGGAGCAAATTAGCTGATTTAACTAATACAAAAATCTCCGGACATAAACAATATCCAACCAAGATATCGTCATATTTTAGCTGGAAAGGGTAAGTAAAAAATATGTTAAAAAATTAAAAAATAAGGTTTAGATTTTGTAATATTCATTTTAATCAAAACTTCTTTAATTAAGAGGAAAAAATTGTACGAAAAAATAAAAGCAGATTTTATAAGAAATATTTTGCGCATAAATAAATAATTTTTCTGCCATAATAAATTATTAAAATATTTCATGGTATAAACTTTCAAAAAAATTTTTATAATTTACAAAATTTATGACTAATAAATTTCACGGGATATATTTTTTGAAAAATTTCCCTTGGGAATCAAAGTCCCAAATAATTTTGACAAATTTATTCAATTTAATTTTTAATTAATTCAAAAGGCAATAATTATTTTATTATGATATGATTATGGTAAGCTTACTAACTATTTCTTGCGAAATTAAAAAATGATAAATGATCCTTAGTTGAATATTTCTAAGAAAAATCTCAACCAACACGTATCGCATCGTAGTATTTGGATTTTTCTTTAATGATAAGATTTCATGAAATATGTCAAATTATAAATTTATTAGAAGTCAATAAAATTACAAAAAATAAAATAATATGGAAAAGATAAACCTAAAATGTTAAGTTTTTTATAATTTAAATTCGTGAATTTCTGTCTTGATGGCTGCCAGGTATTTGAAGTTTCTTCGATTGATCTGCTCGTCTTTTTCTATAAAAAATAAAAATTACAATAAAAATAATAGAAACCAAAACCGCTACACCTATTCCTGTACCAAGCCAAATAGCTGGAGCTGGAGAATTTGACGACTTTTCAGGATAAGTCATAATAGGAGCAGTTGGAGGAGGATTGAAAGTTGTAACCCACTTGTTACTTTTTATATTATAAAGATACACTTGAGATGTAAACAATTGGGTATTTATGTTAAATCCTAAAAAAAAAAAATATAAAACGTCATTAATATAATAGAAAATTTTAATAAAAATATTAAAATTTGCTTACCAAATGTAGTTATCATATGATCATAATATAAGTTTGCAGTATGTCCCCAAATAGGTGGTGGAGAATTTACTTCGGAATTAGTTGGAATGAACCATTCGAAAGGACTTTTATTTATGTTTAGCACAACAAGGTTTGGGTTAACAACAGTATAATTAAATGTACGACCTCCAAATACAATGATATACCCATCTGGTGCTATAAAAAGTATTCATTTCAATATAAATTTTTATTTGATTATTTAAAATAATAAATAATTAAAATAACAGATACTTAATACAGAAGTATGATGAACTCGTGAATCAATATCACCAGTGATTATCTTAAGATAAAATAAATATAAGTTAAATTTTGTCACATTATTTTATAAAATAAAATCAAATATATATACCATCTGTGACCATTCATGTTTATTTGTATCAAAGAGTTTAATTCTATTTGAGAATAATAAGGAATTCCATATTAATATTTATGAAAATAATTTAAAAAATAAATTGTTAATTTATTTATGTTCAAATTGCTTACTTTGTTCATGTTTACAAGAGTAAATTCCACATTAGAACTAACTTGCTCTGATCCGCCAATATAAACAATAATTCCAGTTGGCAAAATATTAGCTGTATATTGAGAACATACAATAGGAAGATTTACAGTTATGTTTAAAGTTGTCCAAGTATTTGAAACAGTCCTTAATATATTCATATCATTGAAAAGAACTCCTTCATAGGTTGTTAAATTAGTGGTATTATATCCACCAAATATATATATTATTCCCGAATTATCAATTACTCCATTTATATTCTGTCTAGGAGAAACTGCATCACCAAGTTCTGGTGCAGACCATGTAGAAGTAGAATAATTATATGTATAGACGAGATTTGAGAAATCATATTCCTGTGTAATTTTATTCCTCATATATCCTCCAAATAGATAAATTGTAGAATTATCCAAACTTAAAACAGCAGTTGACCGATATGTATATACAGGAAGCTTTCCTTCAGAAATTAACGTCCATGTTAAGTTGTTATTATCAAACGACTTTGACAAATCTAAATAGAATAATTCAAATGTATAATCGGTTATATTTGTTTCTCCATTAAATATTAAGAGTTTCTCTTCGATTATTACACTATTATGGTATCTTCTTTTAGGTGGGTCATAGCATAAAATTGAATTAATAAATGATAAAGTGCAAAAAATAAACTTAAATAATTTAAATTGGAGATACATATTTAATAAAATTATATTAATATTAGGATGGATATCACTTTTTTTTAAATAAAAAAAATTCGACTATTTTGAATGCATAATGAGCGGAGTTTTTTGACCTTCTGTCCGATCGAAAAATGGTGTGTAACAAACATCAAAACATTCAAGGTATATTTTTGCTCTTTTGATATGAATTTCACCGAAAGTCTTCACATTCTTGAGCAAATCACTTGTAAGGAAGGATTCAGTTAAAACATTATTCGTTAGTGAATATGAAATGAATCTGTGCCGATAATCATTTCTATAAACGAATTAAAATTACATTAAAAAAATATTTTATGCGAATTTCTAATTTCAGAATCGATAGCATTATATCCAAGCTCAATTGCTAAAGCCTGAATTTGTGATAATGGGTTAAAGTATATTACTTTTTTTTATTTTTTTTTACTAGAAAATATTCATTTGATAGTTTAATATAAAATATTTCAATTATTTAAAATTTTTAAAATTAAATATAAGTTATTATTATATTGTTTATTTTATTTTATAAAATTTTTATCAGAAATACCATTCGTATTTTTTAAAGTGAAGTAGACGATTAAATATAAATTTACAAATTAAGTAAGATATGAAAACTGCGAACTCTTTAAATTAAAAAAAAAAGAATTTTCGTAATCTATTTGCAAATTTATATGATGAATGATAATTACATTTTGGTAAATAGTCTTAGTAATTATATTAATGTCATTTCATATTTTTTTTTATGATCTGTTACGGATACTCAATTATATTTTCTCTAGCTTTACATATGGGCTTAGGACAGGATTAGGATTAGGTAGCGGTTTTGGTTTCTTGTATCTGTAATTTAGATTTCAATAATATTTTTCGAAGACGAACAAGTCAATAGATACAACCTTCAGTTATTCGGGGCATACCTGGCTGGTAAAAATCAACAATTAAATTATAGATAAATAATTGTCTTTTTAAATTAATTAGTAGAGCTCATGGATCATTTATAATAAACGAATCATGGATGTAATTCTAAATCACCCCATCAAAATTGGTTATTCGTAGACTGAAAATATTATTTTTGTTTATTTAATGTACTTTAAAGAATTGGGATCAGAGCGAGAACTCGAACCTAAACAATTTTTCGATGTAGACTTGGAAACAAGGGGTTTATCTCTCTTTGCTACATTTTAAACAAGCGCATAACCAATTTCTTGGTTGGTTTCGTGGCATTTTAAATGGTTATTTTTTTAAAAAAATATTATCCCTTAAACTGTCTTGTAGGCAAATTTGCCCGCAATTTATAAAAATTAATGTAAATCTTTTAATAACTTTTTTTTAATTTCGGCCAATCATTTTGCCACTTTGCATAGATAATGATTAACACCTGATTTCAATATTTAACCAATAATTTTGCTGGAACTAAACTAAAATAAATTTGAAATAAATTTTTAAAGTATTTTTTTATTTTTTCGCGTGTAAGACATTTTTTTGATAATTTATTAATAATTTTATGGAAACTTGAACCTTAAATGAACAAGATAATGATATTTTGTATATTGCAAGAATTAGTAAATTTTAATAGGCGAAAACCTCAGGAGGATTTTCATTGCTGGCTAAAGCCTTCGGAGGATTTTTTACATTTTTCAAATTTGCTCGCGATTTACAAAGCATAGAGTGATTTTCTACTAAGATATTTCTAAGATAGAAAGAAAGCCCTTATTCTCGGCTACAAAATGATATGTGTTTAATTCAGATGGCATCTATATTTGCGGAGAAATTCTAGTTTAAAGAAAAACGTCCGTGAAAAAAATTGTGCAAAAAATTTTTTGGCACGGACGTTTATCTTTAAACTAGAATAACTCCGCGAATATCGATGCTATCTGGATAAAACACATATCATTTTGTAGCCAAGAACAGGGCCTTTCTTTCTATCTTAGAAAATAATAGTAAAAAAATCATCTATAGTTCACAAATAGCAAGCGAATTCGAAAAAACGTAGAAAAAATCTTGAGATTTCCACTCTTTTTTCACGTTTTACGACTTTCCTCACGATTTGCGAAGCATAGAGCGATTTTCTACTAAGGTGTTTCTAAGATACAAAGAAATATCTTGTTTTTGGCTTCAAAATTATATAAATTTCATCCAGATAGAATCGATATTTGCGGAGATATTCTAGTTTAAAGTAAAACGTCTATAAAAAAATCAAGCAGAAAATTTTTTTACACGATTTTTTCAAGGAAGCTTTTTATTAAATTAGAATAATTTCGTGAATATCGATACTATCTTGATGAAACTTATATCTTTTAAACTGTTTTGCAGACAAATTTGTCCACAATTTATAAAAACTAACTAGTGAGTTTATTTTCTCTTTCTCTTTATTTTTAGTTTTTGTTTTCTTAACTGACTCATTATCTGATATAAACA